AAAAATGCATTAATGAAGTCTTAGTGGCTGAGACAAAATAATCCTTATTCTAGTAGCAAAGGCAAGGGCGATGGATAAAAGTGAACAAAATGGTTACATTGTTATATAATTGGCTGAGCGATTAGCGAAGCCCATTACTCCACTGACCGGAAAAGTTTCATTCTGTTTGTATGTTTGTTAGTCCGTTTGTCTGTCTGTCTGTCCGCACGATAATTAAAAGAATAATTGAGAGAGCGATCTGGGAATTTCAGGGTCGTTTGGATCATAAAAAGACAGATCGAGTTCGAAGATGAGCATTCTAGCTCAAAAATTGACTTTTAAAAAAATCAAAAACCACAGGTCGCAAAATATTTTTTACAAGTATTATTTTATAGGCTCCTAAGGGGTAACTCATGAAAGTAGAACCCCTGGGCGAAAATGTCGTCCGTTTTGCTCTATTTTGTACCGTTTGGGTGTAAGGGGGCATCTCTGGACAAAAATATAGTGAAAATGACCAAAGAGTCCATTAAACCGTAGAAAAGGCTTTATATCAAAAAAGTGTGTATACACTCGTGGTCTGGCGTACATATAGCTAGTTATTAATGAATTATATGTTCTACTTCGTGCCTTAACACTCGTTCTGTCGCTCTCTTTTACTACCTGTGCACCACGGTAAGTGCATCGCAGTCCCTTATAAGCAATACATATATAGCTTTTGATCTACTTTGTGACAACACAGATGGCGAAACCAAAACATAACCTTGAATTTAAATTTTCCCTTTTTAGAGAGACGTTTTTTTTTTACCTGTCATTGTAGGTAGTGGAGTGAGATGCAGGGATAGACCTTTTCGCCCACAACTTGGCAACAACGCAAATCACTGAAGTGAAACTGAAGGTGTCAGCGCCGCAGGCCTAGTTATATGTGCGCCAGGCGCGTCGCAGCGTAACAGTGTTTCGTGAGAAATCGCGAAGCCTGTTACGCGAGACGTGGTCTGGCGTACATATACCTAGGTTATTTGCTCTTTTGTAAAATCACTTCTCAGCCAGCCAGAATATTTCGTTTAGCCAGTATTGTTTCTTCACATCAGATCATTGAGGTACTGATGCGTTGGATATTGTTATCACATCAAATTACTGGGGGCTGTTGTATCTGCTGAGGCTAGTGGTTACGCTTGTTTTTGATACACTATAGAAGAAGACTCCTGCCTGAAATTGTTTTGGCTGAGCGATTAGCGAAGCCTATTACTCCGTCTGGTCGGAAAAAACTTTTTCTGTCTGTGTGTCTGTCTGTGTGTCCGCACGATAACTCGAGAACTAATCGTGTGAGCGACCTGGGATTTTCAGGGTCGTTTTGTGTCATAAAAAGACTGATCGAGTTCGAAGATGAGCATTCTAGCTCAAAAATTGGATTTTAAAAAAGTCAAAAACCACAGGTCGCAAAAATGACTGGTTTTAAAAATATTTTTTTCTGGTTTCCTAAGGGGAAACTCATCAAAGTAGAGCCCTCTGGGCGAAAATTTTGTCCGTTTTTCTCTAGCTCCAACCATTTAGACGCTAGAGGGTATTTTTGACTAAAATACGCGAAAAAATGTACAACCATGCATGCTTAGTCTAAGTGACGGGGTTAACGGGCCGGAGGCCCGAATCTTTGAGTACATTTTTGCTCTACCCGACTCGGGTGTCAGCGCCGCAGGCCAAGGTAGATGAATGCCAGGCGCGTCGCAGCGTAACAGTGTTTCGTGAGATATCGCGAAGCCTGTTACGCGAGACGTGGTCTGGCGTACATCTACCTTGTCGTAGAATTAAAACTGCAGCCAAAGAAACAGAGTAATGCTGCAAAATTTTCTTTCATGAGTGTTATGCATGCAATTAAATTTCAGTCAGAGGAATTATCTGGAGCCGTAAGGTACCTGCTTTTATCAATGCTTCAAGTGAAGTGTGTAACATCAATACTGTTGTTTATTTTGTTGGCTGAGCGATTAGCGAAGCCTATTACTCCGTCTGGTCGGAAAAAACTTTGTCTGTCTGTCTGTCTGCACGTCTGTCTGTCTGTCTGTCCGCACGATAACTCAAGAACGAATTGAGCGAGCGACCTGGGATTTTCAGGGTAGTTTTGTGCCATCAAAAGACAGGTCGAGTTCGAAGATGAGCATTCTAGCTCTAAAATTGGGTTCTTAAAAAGTCAAAAACAACGGGTCCGAAAAATGACGTTTTTTAAAACTAGCTATATGTACGCCAGACCACGTCTCGCGTAACAGGCTTCGCGATATCTCATGAAACACTGTTACGCTGCGACGCGCCTGGCGCACATATAGCTAGGCCTGCGGCGCTGACACCCGAGGCGGGGTAATAGGAGTGTATATACCATTTTTCGAAATGAAGTCTTTTTAACGATTTAATCGACCATTTGATCATTTTCACCTCATTTTTGTCAAGAAATGCGCCATAGCGTCGAAACGGTACAAGATAGAGCGAAACGGACGAAATTTTCGCCCAAAGGGCTCTACTTTCACGTGTTACCCATTAGGCCATAAAAAAATATTTGAAAAAAATAATTGGCTGAGCGATTAGCGAAGCCCATTACTCCACTGACCGAAAAAGTTTCATTCTGTTTGTGGCTTTGTTTGTGTGTTTGTTTGTCTGTCCGCACGATATCTCGAGAATGGATTGAGATAGCGATCTGGGAATTTCAGGGTCATTTTGTATCATAAAAAGACAGATCGAGTCCGAATATGAGCATTCTAGATCAAAAATTGGCT